TCTCTGGCCTCACATAAGCTGACGTGCTCTAATTCTTTTTCCGGGGTCCAGTCCTAGTTTCTCTTTAATTGTGCCACATGTAAAACACAGCAATCACATTTTACATCAAAATTTCTAAACAGTTTAAACTTTTCTGGTACAAAACTCATGTTTTATGCTTTCTAGTCCCATGATTTCTTTCAAGGAAATTCCCATTTTTGCTAATGTACCATCAAGCATATTTTTATTAACTAATAACTATTATTGAATATTAACGGTTCATTTTTTGTTGGTGACTCGGTATAAAATTGAGAACTGAAGTCATCCCAAAGCACAAAAGTTTATTGTCTACAGGGACAGATATTAACTATACTTTCAAATAAAGAAAATAATCCATGATCAAACCCAAGACTTACACCTAACTTGCTCAGATTTACAAGAATAAACTGCCCAGCCCAGCACATAATCAAAATAACAAATAATTCATTCACAAATCATTTTCCCCAAATCCTGTTTGAACCAGAAGGATAATAAGATTGAATATATAGTATATAGCCTACTTTTTAATGGCAAATAACTTAAATCAAGAGATCTACCAAAAGGAAAACAAAAAAATCTATCAACTAAAATTATTAACAGCAGAGGTAACTCTTTATTTGACTGGATTCCAGGTGAAAAGAGAACAGACAAAGGAAGCACGGTAGGCAAAAGCATGAAAAGCAAGGCTGTAGGAGAGTCAGAAACAGGACTTCTTAAAGCAATAATGCTCAGGGCAGCAATCAATGGACTGGGATAGAAGCAACAAACTAAAATCAAGATACCGCCTAAGTGACAACAGGAGCCTAGTGGCAAAGGAAGAAGAAAAAGATATCAAAACAAGTGACAAAACTAAAGACCCATCATAAAAACAACTTACAATGACTTAAAACAGAACGAATTAATTTTTTAAATAATGGGAGCTAGAGAGAAAAAGGAAACTCCTCTAAAATCTACCCTGAAATGGAAGACAGTGGAAACTATTTGGGAAATACTACCACCATAAACTATACAAAATTTAAATAAGTGGAGGGAAACTGGTAAATTATGACCTGGATGCAGAGTGCTTCACTAACTAAAGCCTTTTTGTGGATCACAACAAACTGTGGAAAATTCTTAAAGAGATGGGAATATCAGACCACCTTAACTGTCTGTTGAAAAAAATCTGTATGAAGGTCAAGAAGCAACAGTTAGAACTGAACATGGAACAACAGACTGGTTCAAAATTGGGAAAGAAGTACATCAAGGCTATATATTGTCACCCTAATTATTTACTTATTTAACTTCTATGCAGGGTACATCAAGTGGAATACAAGGATGGATAAAGCACAAGTTGGAATCAAGACTGCTGGAAGAAATAATAACCTCTGATATATCCAGATGATATACCCTAATGGCAGAAAGTGAAGAAGAACTAAAGAGCCTCTTGATGAGGATGAAAGAGGAGAGTGAAAAGGCTGGCTTAAAACTCAACACTCAAAAAACCATGGCATCCGTTTCATCACTTTATGGCAAATAGAAGGGGGAAAAAGTGGAAGCAGTGACAAGTGTTATTTTCTTGGACTCCAAAATCACTGTGGATGGTGACTGCAGCCATGAAATTAAAGGACCCTTGCTCCTTGGAAGCAAAGTTACGACAAACTTAAGACAGCATATGAAAAAGCAGAGACATCTTTCTGCCAACAAAGGTCCATACAGTCAACACTCTGGTTTTTCCAGTAGTCATGTATGGATGTGAGAGTTGGTCCATAAAGAAGACTGAGCACTGAAGGATTGATGCTGTCGAATTGTGGTGCTGGAGAAGACTCTTGAGAGTCCCTTGGACTGCATGAAGGTCAAATCAGTCAATCCTAAAGGAAATCAACCCTAAATATTTCTTCAAAGGACTGACACTGAAGCTCCAATACTTTGGCCACCTGATGTGAAGAGCCAACTCACTGGGAAAGATCCTGATGCTGGGAGAGACTGAGGGCAGGATGAGAAGGGGCAACAGAGGATGACATGGTCAGATGGCATCACCAAGTCAATGAACATGAGTTTGAGCAAACTCTGCAAGATGGTGAAGAACAGAGAAGCTTGCACTCCATTGGGCTGCAGAGTCAAACACAATTGAGCAACTGAATAGCAGCAGCATACAACAATTACAACAGCCTTCAAGACAGAAAATTATTCTGTAACTCTGCGTATGGTTCTTCAGGGTGAGTATTTTAGATTATAATGACTACTGGAAAATGGCCTCAGAAAAAAATTTATCATACGGTTTTATATTAAATAGCAAACTAGCATGTGTGTTCTCAGTCGTGTCCGACTCTTTGCAATCCCATTGACTGCAGCACACCACGCTGCTCTGTCCATGGGGTTCTCCAGGCAAGAGTACTGGAGTGGGTTGCCATTTCCTCCTCCAGGGGAGCTTCCTGTCTCAGGGCTCACTGGCAGGTGGATTCTTTACCACTTGTGCCACCTGGGGAGCCCCCTTCCTATCAAATATTACCTATAACTCAGCCTTTTTCTATTTATATTAAATATTACCCATATCCCAGCTTTCTTTCTATTTATCTCTTCTGAAGACTGCAGGAATTTTTTTCGTTCTGTTGTATCACTGTTAATTATTTTTTTATTTAACATTTTTTGTCTTTATTTAAGTCAGACAAAGACTGCACAAATTTTTAAAACTCAGATCCTATTTAATTTGTCCCATAAACTGAAATTAAAGGGCACTGTATTCAAAATAAGATGAAAATACTGAACTTACTACATATGGTCTAGGAAGTTACCAGAAACTAATATTACTGAATTTAAAAGATGGCAGAAAGTTTCAGAGATGTTAGTAACATCTGCCTTTTTCCCAACAGGGGCTGGTCTAGAAAAATCACAGTTGATCCTTTTTAAGGCTTTTGGATGGAGGTGAAAGAACAGAAATTTGCATAACCGGTCCAAAATAGATCACCAAATTGCTTCTTCTCCAAAATAAAAAAACAAAACACATCGAGTATAATGGAACAATAAAGAAGAAGGAAATTCTACTAGAGTACTATACTTATTTTCCTTTATAGTTTCTAAGACAATGAATGATGAAAAAATATATACATATACAACACTACTGCAAGATATTAATGACACAGGAATGAAGAGGGGGTAAAACTGAGAAGGTATAATATGGGAACTATCTACCTTCCATTCCTATAAACTAAAACATCTAAAAAATAAGGTCTATTACTTTGCTTAAATGTTTTAATAAAACAAAAAATGAGACAGCACAAGGCTGTCTACTACCATTGTAGCTTTTAGTTTCCTTATAAACATTTTTCTACAACTATTTTTCCTAACTATAAAAATAATATAGGATTACTGATAAATTTTTGAAAAATACTAAACTTAAAAATTTCAAAAATCAAAATTTCCAGTAATTCATGGGAATAATCCTGTAACTTCAGTGTAGATTTCCTTGCTTTTTATATATGAAAAATATATACATACTTCAAATATTTACTAATACACAGCATGTAAAGTGTTGCATGGAATATTTTATTTAACCTACTGTGAACGTTTTCTACTATCACTCAACACTAAGAAAGTTGTAAAGAATTAATCACATTTAAAATTTTGAAAAAATGTTTCTGTTGACACAAGTAAAATAACTACAATGAAAGGGGGGAAAAAACAGGGACAATAAACAATTTTAGTCTTTGTTTCTAGAACACAAGCTGTGTAGTACATAGAAAGGAAAAATAAAATGCTCCTAACAGTTGGCTAGTAGAAATATCAAGTTCAAAGCAAAACTCTCTGAGATATACATGTTTACCAAATAAAAGTAGAACAGTGGATAGGAGGACTGAAATGTCCCAGAAGATGAGGGGGAAAAAACTATTTCTGATTTTAATACAGCCCACCTACTCATTCTTTCAAAATTCCTTCTTTTCATTAATCTTATCCTAGAGTAACAAGAAAGAATAAATCCTTCGGGGGATTAATTTTTTTTCTAGTTTTTTAGTTTTGGGTTTTTTAAGGCAATAGCACAACACAGAAAAATACTACTTATATAAAATAATATCCCTTGTTTTAACTTGGTCTTTTTTTTTCTTACAGACTGAAGCAGGTTTAACAGCAGCCCCAAAGGTATGCCCAAGTTGTAACCCCCAGAACCTACAAAGAGGACCTCACTTGGAAAAATGATCTTTGTGCGTTTGATTGTGGATTCTGAGATGAGATCAGCCTGGATTAAGGTGGGCCCTTGTTTGTGATCAGCTGTGTGGACTCTTTGCTACCCATGGACTGTAGCCTGCCAGGCTCCTCCGTCTGTAGACTTTTTCAGGCAACAATACTGGAGTGGACTGCCATTTCCTACCCAATAACTTGGTCTTTTTAATATCACATAGCCTTCAAGTTCACCTGGTATGATCACTAAGTTTCTCAACAGCTCGGATTTAAGATCTTGCATCCCAGACTTTGGAAAGAAAACAGAAAGAGAGATGGGACAAAAATCAAACTTCAGTACGAGTTACTGAACTAACTCCTGAATGACGACAGACTCAAGGGCAGCATTCCCTTCCCAAGTATCTGATTCAGACACTATGCAAGAGACAGCAAAGTACTGGATCCCACATGAACATCTGGCAACTGATAAACAGACTCAAAGACCAAATTTCACCAAAACTCTCTCATACTAACCACTACCTATACACATCACAAGCGCAGGGAGAGGAAAAAAGTATTTTAATAAATCTGTCATTCATTCATCCACCCAATCAGCGGCATCCAATTCATCACACACTACTATGTTTAAGTGGGGAAAGTACTGAAATCCTTGATTTAATTTATTTCATATTACTCAAATTTATTCAGAAAATCATTTAATAATCAACATCATACTACAAAAGTATAATCATTTAAAACATGCCTTACAAAACTTTTTACTTAATCAACAATTCTAAACTTTGCTAAAATGGGATTAAGATTCATGCTGTAATCACTGGTAAAAAACTCACCAGGTGATTCTCCCCCCACATCTGAGGCTTGAGCTGAATCTACTGAAGAAACCACACTAACAGCATTGGTAGGTATACCTGTAAGTGTGGAAGGTAAGACTGCTGATTTTTTTGTTGCAATGATGACACTTCTGTAATAGAGAAAACAAATAGATTTTAAAATACAGAAGACTGCAAAATTACATAAATTTCAAAACAGAAAATAGGAAACCAACTTCTTTCTACCTTATATCTCTATTTTGATGTACAATTTAGAAAATATTCTCAATAAGAAATCACTTCAGTGGTATGCACATTAGATTATTCTTTACTTTTTAGAATCAAGATAATGTTTTATGAAAATATAATAACATGTTAACATTTAAACTTATATTTACTATATTCTTTAAATTTAGAATCATCTTTAATTATCCAACTTAAAATATAACCAGAGGTATATACAAAAAAGAAATATGGCATTCATGTGAAGTAACTTTTTCTCAACCTCAGAAGTGAAGCAGAAAACTCAACAGATTTCTACAAGAATTTTAAAGCACCAGTAAGTTGAAATGATAAAACCTTAGAAATCTTAAAGTAAGAAAATGCAGATATTAACAATTTTTAAACATGTATACAATCAGATTTTTACTTTTCAACCCTCAAAGACTATCTTGTAATAATATTACATAGAAAAAACAATGCATAGCATTAAAGCTAGATGTAAAAATATCAACTAATCAAATTTGTTCATCTCTGTATTATTTAAACACAGGTATTTATGATATACCAATTTCAATTAGAGGGTAATACTTTATGCCAAAATAGTAACTAAAAGACCTTATTAGGCATAACGTAAAAGGCACTTTTAATTGAAGTTAGCGCCATAAACATGCAAAAACCTAGTTAATGAGGTAAAGAGGACAGCTGATATATAATGCACTCCCACAGCAGTGCTTACTTTTAATTACCTGGTGTTAACCATAAGCCTAAAGTCTTCAACATTCAATTTATTTAATCACATCTTTTGTTGACAATATTGTAACTGCAAGCTTCAAGTATTCCCTTAACAGCTTTATTCAGTTTTGAAGTAAAGTTACTTAGATACTTGATCCCAATAAATGCATTCAGAAGTGAAAATTATATAATTCCAATACTTTAAAAATACATTTTGTTTCTGCTGCTACATCAGAAAGAGATAACACAAAGTGAAATAGTTTCTGTTTTACTTCAATGCCTATCACGTGACAGCAAACACTGTCGCCAATTAAATCAAGTTCTCCTGTGCTAGGCACGGCGCGCTCAATGTTCTTGGGGGTAGCTGGTGTCACATCATTATAAGGGTGACTGCCAATGTTAACTATACACTAAAAAATAGAAGCAACAGCCACCTGAGCCCTCAGTCCAAAACGCTGTGCTTAAGTCATGGTAGCTTATGTCACAGGAAGATTACTGACTTTAGGGGGAGTGGACAATCCCCTCTCTGCCTGTGTGCAAGTGTGTGGGTGTGGGTGTGTGTGTGTGTGCAGGTAGTGCATTCACAAAACAATACAAAATGTACTTTGTGCATTACCTGCTACAGGCAAAACTTTACAAGCCCATTGTTTAAGAAAATCTGTAACTATTTATTTACTAGCAAGCTATTCTGACGGGAGAGGGGCGAACATGGAGGATTTACTCTGACATTTGTTCACAAAAGAAACTACTAGCAAGATCTAGTTTACTCATACAAGAGCCAAGTGCTGATAGGAGCAACAGAATTTAGTATTTAGAAAAGAGAAACCGTTTTTTCTATATTTGAAATTTAAGCCACAAGCCTACCCTATTGTACCAGCAAATCTACTCTTAGAAATTTCCTCACGATAATTAAGTCTACAAAGAACAGATACAATAACATTAAGAAATGCTTTATTGATAACAACCAAAACTGGAAATAGCCCAGAATCTTTAAGCAGAAAAAGGAATTAAAATTTGGTGGTATACATATAGAATGGAATAATAGTAATAAAAAGAAATAAACTACTGATTGATTAACATAACATGTATGAATCTCAAAAGCATTATGTTGAGTGAAGGAAGCCTTATACAGAGGAACACATATTTTGTATTTCCTTTTACATGAAGTTCTAGAAAAGGCAAACTTAATCTATTGTTTAAAAAAATATAGAACAATAATTGCCTGTGGAGGGTGGGACAGGCACTAGCTAGGAAGGAGCACTAAGGAACTTTCAAGACTGAGGGTAACTTGACTGGAAATTTAGGTTACACAGGTGTTTAATTTGTCAAAACTCATAAAATGGCACTCTTAAAAGAGTTGTGCCTATCACGGTATGTACACTTTACCTTAAAAAACTGTACTGGTCTCTGGTTAGAGATCTATGTGCCTTAACCGTTTAAGACTGAAGTGATCTTATGCCTGCAACTTATTTTGAAATGCATAAAATGTAACTCTGATGGATACAGAGATGGTTATGTGGAGAACTGTACAATGAAGTAAACAAATAAAGGCTAATTGCAGAATTTCAGTGATGGATCACTAGATGTTCACTGTTCAATACTTTGAACTTCTCTGTATATTTAACAAAATGATGAAAAGATAGTAACAAAAAATTTACTACAGATGTACCATAATACACACAATCTCTATTTGTCCAAGATGGCACAGTTAATAACAGATAACAAAAGAACCTGACTTCATTTCTGTTCCTTCAAACAAGGGCCATTAATAATGTGTTCAATCATGAATAAGAGCTATCACTTAGTTCAGTAAATATTTATTGTCCAATATCTTTCACACATTCTCATTCCAGACACATCTGAAGTGTGACTTCCTATTTGAATTTACATCTAACTAGCACTCATTCCTTACAGACTTCTGCAATATGCTCTTACGGCTCTTGAACTAAGCATGTACATTATTTCACAACTCCAGTCCTCTGTACGTGCTATTTCTCGACCAAGATTCCTTCCGCTTAGTCTGTATGCCAGCAGTCTTCCTTCGCACCTTTCAAAACTGCTCAACAGTTAAGTGTCCCCAGACAGCCAAGTCAATGTTCACTATTCTTTGTGCTCTCGCATGATCCAATTATATAAACTTAATAAATACATACATGATCCTATCTTAATGAATCATTAATGAATGCTAAGATGAAGCACTGATAATATGTCAAGAATTACTACTCAATTCACAAAATAAACCTAACATACTTATTACTTTCATTTAAAAAACTGAAAAAGTTCAGAAAGGAAAAGTAATTTGTCAAGGTAGATGACAGAACTGCCCCACAATTCTAGATTTATCTAAACAAGGGCCTCTAATTTGAACCAGTTTCTCATAGTGACCTTTAAGTTTTATTGAGATAGAATTTACCTTCCCTACAATTTATTCATATACAGTATAAAATTAAATGGTTTTTAGAATTTTCAAAAATTGTGCAACCATAACCACAATTATATTGACATTTAAACATAATTCTATATTATAATCTATAAGCAATAGGAATAAAGATTTCCAAGATATAAAGTTATTAATACATATGTACTCCTACTAAAATACAAAAATGTATCTGCTCAGAAACAGAAAAACCGCATTCGTTAGCACATTCTTTAGTAAACATAACAGAAAAATAGAATTAATCAATTTCCATATTCAATGATGGTTTCAAATCACCTCTGAGAAAGTAACATAATAATGATTTAGCTTTGGGCCACATAAAAACAAAGAAAATTCAGTCACATAGATTTACTTAGAAGGACATTAAGTAGGAGGCAAATTTCATGATATTTTCACTCCCTTTACTGTTTTTATTATTATAAACTATAAATTATAAATTTTCTGTGTAAAAGACTAAAATCTTCAACACAGGGGTTTATTTAAGCTACCACACTTATCATGTGTAAAAGTGTAAATCTAAACTGTTAGTAATGTTGGTGTTTAGTTGCTAAGTTGTGTCCAACTCTTTTGTGACCCCATGGGCTGCAGCCCGCCAGGGTCCTCCGTCCATGTGACTTCCCAGGCAAGAATACTGGAGTGGGTTGCCATGTCCTTCTCTAAGGGATCTTCCCGACCTACAGATCGAACCTGTATCTCCTGCTTGACAAGCAGATTCTTTACCTCTGAGCAAATGGATTAGTAAAGCCTGTCTTAAAATTTTAATAAAATGGCATCAATTTCATGCTACAGCTTAAGGTTGTACTTAAATTGAAATCCATGACTGAATTTTTGATATCTGCCATCAATTTTAAGAAAAAGCACTTCAAACTTTTGGCATAAAAAAATCAAAAGACAGATAAGTCTTTTAATTATGCAAGCTGTTTTTCCTAACTTTCAACTTACAACGAAATATTAAAGTATAAAATTCCACATATTATAGCTTTTTTTCTTTACACGCACCAACTTTAATAGTTAGTATCTGTAAAGCACTATGCTGAGGACATATATGAATTATGTTACTTACATTTACCACAAACTACCACCACCATGAGGGAATTATTTATACTAACAACCTGTGAGGTAAGCACTTCATATTATTAGCACCATTTTACAAATGAGAGAATGAAGTAACTTTCCTAAGCCCCCACAGATAGAAAGTACAAACACTGCTGACTTTTCTCTTTCTTGCCTGAACTAGGGAGACTTTTTTTTAAGATTTCTTTTTATTGAGTAACAACAAAGAGACAGCAACATTTTCCTCCAGATCACTAAGGTTCAGAAGTTCCATTTCAGAACTGTGTCAGTTTGAAGTATCATAAACTTTTTCAGAAACACTATTTTCTTTAACATGCAAATAGTTCACTAAAGGAGAAGAGCATTTTAAGCCAAGTACTTTAGTCCCTAAGGATCTAGCTGAAAAGCCAGACGAAGCCCTTGAACTGTATCAAGATAAACCCCTGGCATCCACTAATCACCAGAGAGGATCTCTGATGAGATAAGAGCAGGAATTTTGGCCTGGGAATGAACACAACACCTTGCCATCCACAAAGGCCCACAACCTGGCAGCCCGTCAGCAAGGATCCACTCATGGAGCTGTTACTCTAAACTTTCCAGCTATTGCTTGGAAGTTGATAATGCTTAAGATATGAGGAGAGTTGTGATTTCTGACACAGCATTCCAGAGATAAATACATGATCAGAGGGATGCTTTGAAATTCTCAAAGATACTCCTTTGGTCTAAAGCTGCACGAAAAGTTTTTCAAAAGGTGTCTGTTGCTATGAAAAAGAGAGGGGAAAACAGAGCAGTTTGCTTGCCATCAGACAATATGTTAAATGCATACCAGACATGTAAGCTCCAAACAGCCTCCTGAAAAATAGTATTGCCAAATTCCCCTTTATTTTCTTTTTTAATAAATCCCTAAAAATGTATTCCCTTTGCAGTTTCCTAAATAAGTTCATAACCTACTCACTGAGGGTATCATGAAGGCATAGAAAAGTTTTACACTATTTTAAAAGAAATAAATGCCAAAACACATGAAAACTGGGGAATTTATAAGGAAACAACTTTGATTATATTAGTAATATACATTAAATGTAAAAACCTACCCTCAAGTTTTTCTCATTACTTAATCTAAGATTAATACAAATTTAAACAAGTCTATAAATACTGTCAATTTTTTAAAAAACCTAATCATTTACACCTCAAAATATAGTCATTGCAGTTTGTCATATACTGTTTGAGACATACAGAAACATAAATTTTTTTTTAAGAGCATTAAATCGCAAACTAAACTGTACTCTGCTTTTTCATTTAATAATATATCTTCAACATCATTTTACATCAGTACATAGTGTTGTGCTTTTCTCTCATCAGTGGCTGCAGAGTATTCCCCGTCCTTGCATAGGAAACATGCATGCATACACAGGAAACAAACATACACGTGCTGCACAGGAAACAACACGTGTAATCAGTTCTTCATTTGCAACTACGTTTGCATAGCACTGCCAAATGACAGGGCATAGACTCCACCGGCTGTGGCTCAAATCTCATCTCCACCACTTATTAGCACAAGAGCTTAAGCTGTTTTTCACATTCCCTATGCCTCAGTTTCTTCATCTGTAAAATAAGAACAAAAACAGTATCTATCTACCCACCTATCTGCCTATCTAAAACAATGTGCTTTAAAAACACTTTCACAGTGTAAAAGCTCAACAGGTATTAGCTTAATTATGAAATTCCTCTTACAGGAAGAAAACATTTTGTACTTGCATACACCTGTATAAACTTCTAGAGATATAATTAAGTTTACATATTTTGAATTTTAATTAACTGCCAATGTTCCCTCAAATAAACTGTTCCATGATGCCCTCCACAATACACCCTCATTAAGACGAGGCATTATCTTCTAAACTTCTAGATTGCTTCATGCTAAGTGCTACAGATTAATATATATTCAATATCATTTCACACCAATACATATCGTTCTGCTTTTTTTTTTCGCTTTAACAGCCATATAGTATCACACAGTCATACAGGAAACTGAGATTCAGGAGGATAAGGTAATTTGTCCAAATCCACTAATAAGTAACTGAGCCAGAACTCACACACAGCTGTGTCTGATTTCCAGAATCAATATATAACTCCTATAAGCCTAATTTAAAAAAAAAAAAAAAGAAAGGAATAAAAGGGAAAAAAAACCTGACTCTAGCAACCACTATCTATAACAACACATCATATATATACCAATATGCTATTTACCTGGAATTTAGACTCTATCAGTCTTATCATTCTAGGACACTGATCTAAACTTCAGACAGAGGGAGAAGGAACAAGATGATAAAGGATGATGGCAAAAAGATTTTCCCATAAAATTATACATTCCCTGTGTTCAGAGCACCTGAATTATATAAATAATTTTAACCAGCTTGGATATCTAATGTGCCAGCAAGTCTGAAGTAGAAAATCAAGAGATGAGATGAAATACAGAGAAGGCACAACAAAATAAACAAGCAGACAGAAGGAAATTATGATGAAAATATGTCAAAACGAAACAGAAGCCAACTGGAAGGAAATCCCACTGGCCAAACAAGAGACAATTTGAATATCAAGATAAACAACAAACGAACAGTATATTTCATTCTATAAAAAAAGAAACCATAAGGCCATATATTAAATGTACTGAATTCATCTGATGAGGATGATAACAGTTTTACAGAACCTCTTCCCAAGGAGTACCTTAAGAGTGGAGAGACCCAGAAAATACCACTTTAATAAGTGATCTGAATGAATATCATCAGTAACAAGATAAAACTGTTTGCCACTTGTTAGAACACAACAGGAAGAAACTGTGCCACTTCTGTGATACTACTCCCAAAGACGCTTTAAATTGAATCAAATCTAGAAGAAACATTAGACAAACTAAACTGAGGGACATTCTATAAAACAGCTGGACTCTCATCTTCTAAAGGGTCGAGGCTATTAAATTTAAGCAAAGACTAAGGAACTATTCTTCTCAATCGAAAGAGAATAAAGAGATACAACAAAATACAATATACAATTCTGAATTCAATTCTACTAAAAAGAGCATTACTGAGAAAATCAATGAAACTTGAAATGTGTTTGAAAATTTGCAGGGAGTATGATATCAATCTTAATTTCCTTATTGTGATGAATTTACTGTGGATATGCAGAAAAAACACAATGAACTATTCAAAAAGGATGGAGTATTGTCTCAATTTCCCCTCAACAGATTCAGGAAAAGTAAAATTTCTTTTAATTGGCAACTTTTCTATAAGGTAGAGATTGTTTTATATAAAAATGTTGACTTTTGAAAAAGAATTCAATAACTCATATATGTCTTACAGACAGAATTTCAGAAAATTTTCTATAAATTTAACATAAAGAAAAAATCTCAAGCAAATTAGCCGAAGGTTTCACAGGTCAACAGAACCAACAAAGTCAGGAATCTATAGTTAGCTCTCTCAAGCTGTCAAGACTGAACACTTAGATGAATTCCTAAGTCTGCCAGAATTCACAGATTCCCACTTTTTCCACAAAGGCTGGCACATACTGACAGCAGGGGAGTGAAAGATAAACATCTGGAAGAATAAGTGATTTCTAAGTTGCAACCAAGAAAAACATTATTTAATATACAACTTGCTAATAAAACATTAACATTATTCTTAAACAATCTTAATGATTATGTTGATAATAGCATTGAAACATGTATATTATCACATGTGAAACAGACCACCAGTCCAGGTTCGATGCAGGAGACGGGGTGCTCCAGTGGTGCACTGGGATGACCCTGAGAGATGGGATGGGGAACACATGTACACCCGTGGTGGATTCATGTCACTGTATGGCAAAAACCACCACAATATTGTAAAGTAATTAGCCTCCAATTAAAATAAATAAATAAATTTAATAAAAAACTTGAAATGATATACAAACCAGTCAACAAAATATCATAATTTTTAAAAACTAGATTAAAACATCCCTTTTTAATGCTGAAGCTACAAAATTTAGCAAAGTTTAAATTCCTCCTTAATCTTTAAACTCCCTTATAATGAATACATTTATAAGATGCAAAAACAAAAGACTATTTATAGTACCTGTCAAAGGACCTGAACTGCACAGGTTGTTCAGCAGAGAGATCACCGAGAGCCCCAAGGCAGGCTGGCGGCAGAAGGGCAGGATCGGTAGTGACTCCATCTGCTGGTATGTTTACTAAGCTTCGGAGAATGTCCTTCACGTTGACATTTTTTGAAACTGGAACTGACGGTGCAGCCTTGCTATCCAATTCATTTCCTCCGTCGCTTCTGGTTTCCTGAGATTGACTGACTTCTGAAGAAAGAGTGCAGAGCGCCTCAGTGACGGCATCGGGGCCTGCACGGACACTCGGAGGGGCTCGGGGAGCAGCCACGTCCGCACGGCTGCCTAGCCCAGGAGCTGTTTCTTCCCCAAGGCCTGAGTCCCTCCTTTGAGCAGAGGAAGTGCCTTCATATTCTTCGACAGATGCTGGAGTTAATGGGCTCAATGCTGCTGGTGAGTTTTCTACATCTTACCCAGGAAAAGAAGAAAAGTAAAAATTAAAAATACGTACAAATAATTTTAAAAAGGTACATTCACTCCTGTTTTAGATTATGAAACATACAGCATGTTCTAAAACTCTAAAAACAAACTAATCTATAAAACGTACTGCGTAAATATACATATAATGAAATAGTTTAATAAAATAATAATAACAAATCAGGTTAACAAAGTATCTGAGAAAACCCCAAACTGAACATGACACACCAATGGGTGGCAACACAAGGTTGAAAGCCACTGGTCCGTAAGAAAAAGTCCAAAATCCTTTGGGCATACTCAAGGTTCTTCAATAATATAAGTCTGCTAGGAGGTAGACTTCATCAGGGTAGAGAATGTGTCTTCATTAACACTTCATTCCCAGCACCAGTGACAACACCTGGGCCTACAACAATGTCCGGCAAGTAGTAGGTCCACCAGTAAGTATTTTTCAGATGACTATTCATCTCCAACTTTATATCCTGCTACTCATGCCATAATACACATACAACACAAAACTGCTCACAATCTGCTGAATGGGCTTCTGTGCCTTATACACTGGCATGTCTTCAGATGATATTCCCAAGACCTCTACCTCAAACACAGTTTCTACTAGAAAACATGTTACCAATCCTATATGGATGAATGATTCAATCAATGATCTTTAAAATATAGTTCCACAAGGAACATCACCTTTTCTATTTGATTTTCATTCCCTCCAATCAGGTATTGATTCCATTCCAACAAAAATGCTCCGTCTTGCTAAATCCAATAATCAATTCTCGACCTAGCAGCTCGTGACATAACAACAGCAACTGATTACTCCTTCCAGGCTGGTAACACTCTTCCAGCTTTTCATGTACGATTCCTTCTTTACTTCCTTCACTTCTCTTTCTCCCTTATTTCTTAAGGTGGAGGAGTTTAGTACTTAGTTCTTAATCCTTTTACTTTTTCTATCAACACTTACATCCTTAATGGTCTCATTCACTCTCCAAGTATTAAATACCACTATTTCAATCAATCAAATTTAGATTGTTCTATGTAACTGCCTACTCTACATTTTCTTCTATATGTCTAAAAGACATCACAAACACAACGTATCGAAAAGTAAATTTCTTATCCTTGCCTGAGTATGTTTCACCTTCAGTCTATCCAACTGCACTTTATAATTAATCTTGACTACCTTCCATCTTTCACATACACACACCTAATATTTTTAAATACTGCTTTCTCACCATCAGAATATATCCAAAATCTGACTGCTTCTCACTAGCCCTACAGTTACCACCCAGGTCAATGCCCAAATCACCTCTTGCCTAGATTACTGCAATATACTCCTAGCTGGTTATGTTAGACTGTTAAATTAATGGATCCATAGATCATGCCTCCTGGTATTCACCCCCTTGAGCAGTTGCTGAGTATGGGCTGGGCCTGACTTCAGCTCAGTTCAGTTGCTCAGTCATGTGTGACTCTTCGTGACCCCACGGATTGCAGCACGCCAGGCCACCCTGTCCATCACCAACTCCCTGAGTTTACTCAAACTCATGTCCATCGAGTCGGCCATCAAACCATCTCATCCTCTGTCGTCCCCTGCTCCTCCTGCCTTCAATCTTTCCCAGCATCAGGGTCTTCTCCAATGAGTCAGTTCTTCGCTTCAGGAGGCCAAATTGGAGTTTCAGTTTCAGCATCAGTCCTTCCAATGAATATTCCAAAATATGAATATATATGAATACTCAGGACTGATTTCCTTTAGGACGGACTGGGTGGAGCTCCTTGCAGTTCAAGGGACTCTCAAGAGTCTTCTCCAACACCACAATTCAAAAGCATCAACTTTTCGGCACTCAGCTTTCTTTATAGTCCAACTCTCACATCCATACATGACTACTGGAAAAACCACAGCCTTGACTAGATGGACCTTTGTTGCCAAGGTAATGTCTCTGCTTTATAATAAGCTGTCTAGGTTGGTCATAACTTTTCTTCCAAGGAGAAAGTGTCTTTTAATTTCATGGCTGCAGTCACCATCTGCAGTGATTTTGGAGCCCCAAAAACAGTCAGCCACTGTTTCCATTGTTTCCCCATCTATTTGCCATGAAGTGATAGAACCAGATGCCGTGATCTTAGTTTTCTGCATGTTGAGTTTTAAGCCAACTTTTTCACTCTCCTCTTTCATTTTCATCAAGAGGCTCTTCAGTTCTTCTTCGCTTTCTGCCATAAAGGTGGTGTCACCTGCATATCTGAGGTTATTGATATTTCTCCCAGCAATCTGGATTCCAGCTTGTGCTTCATCCGGCCCAGTGTTTCTCATGATATACTCTGCATTTAAGTTTAATAAGCAGGGTGACAATATACAGCCTTGACGTACTCCTTTCCCTATTTGGAACCAGTCTGTTGCTCCATGTCCAGTTCTAACTGTCGCTTCTTGACCTGCATCAGATCTCTCAGGAGTCAGGTCAGATGGTCTGGTACTCCCATCTCTTGAAGAATTTTCCACAGAGCCTGACTTACTTACACCCATGTGGGAGAAGTGACAATGGGCCAGTTCAGTACCCAATTTTTAAAATCTAACAGTTTGGGCATTCTCAGAATCCCTGGACATCTCTGAAAGCAATCTGGCTACCTTGCTGGTAAGATCATGTAGAGAGACCTCCACATAGGAGATAAAGGACCTCCAGACTAATAGAGTAAAACAAAGGAATTCAGCTGAAAACAAGTAGCAAGGTTCCCCACACACAACCCCAGTCTAGTCATTTCAGTCTGTCAGCCCTAGCTCTTAAGAGCTATTCTAGCTGAAGCACTAGATAAATGAGTAGAAAAGTTATCTAAGACTTCCCAACCCCAGAGACATCATTTGGAGCAGGAATTATTACCACTGTGCCTTATCTGAATCAAATTCATGGAATCATGGTAACAAGACTGAAATAGTTGGGAGTTTTCGCTTTGAGGTAATCTGTAACACAGTGGTCCATAACTAAAACACTGCTTTTTGTTGCCCTACAGGATGTAATCTGGACAGTATTCCAAGTTCTACTCTTTAATAACATACATCAATTCTAACTCCTGTACTGAAAGCCCTCCAATAATTTCCCATTCTCCATAGAGTGAAAATTCACACTCCCTTTCTCCTGGTTATTCCTGATATACTTCCCCATTCAATTTTTATTGTCTTAAGACTTAACATCTTCTAAAATACTATACAATTTGCTTATTATATATACTCATTTTCTACTTCCTCTCCTGGAATACAGGCTCCATGAGGGCGGATTTTTTTGCTTCTGCTCATCAGTAACGAACAAGTAGCTAAGAGGTGCCAAATGAATATTGATGGAATAGATAAATCTCCTCTGTCGGGTAGGAGCGACTTCTACACCTACACCAGCTGCTTCTCTAACTATACATCTATAACTGGCAGCTAATTTTATATATAACTCTAATTATTACACTTATTTGTTAACAAGTATGTCTCAGAAGACAATATAATTTATTCTTCACAACAAATGCTGAGTTAAAACTGTTTAATACTTTATTTGTAAAACATAACATTTTCTCACTTATTTTTTAATTAGATGGCTCACTTAAAACAGAAATCATATCTCAGTTGAAATTAACTACAGGGTCCTTAAAATACTTCATTATTAATAAAAATAACTGCATGCTCTCATTAAGGTACACATAAATGGATTTAAATTCCAGGATGAATATTTTTAACTGCTGTGAGTAGGTAATGTTTTACTTGAATTTTGGATGCCAGATAATAAAATACAGAAACTTACCAGGGAGTGACAAATTTCCACATTCACTACCAGTTTCTCTAGACTGGCTATGCCTTTCATTCTGGGGTTCCAAAATGTCTCTGTACTTCGAGACCATAAGAACAGAGATAAAGTATACAACTGCCAAGGCTAAAAACTGTGCTTGTTTGCTATCCTCCTGGGAAGGAAATACAAGGAGTTAATCATGCCACTACTAAGTAAGACATTTGAATCTTATTTTACAAGACAACATTCAAATACAAAACATATTCACGAACCTTTCAATATACACAGAAAATAGTAATGAATTCACCTGAGCAAAGATTAAACAAAAATTCTTGGAAAAATGCCTGTATATGTTAGGTTTTATGCTTGTTAAACAGGACAGAGACTCTGGCTCATTGTTTTTACATTAAGTAACTCAATCTGAAGAGATACATCCTAATATACTTTATCAGATTCATCATATAACAACTATAATTATATATGAACCATTATTTTTACTTTCAACTATAAGAATTAAATTGTTTTATAAAAATCAGAATAACAGTTTTCTTAAAAGACAAACATTTGAGATTATTAAAAATGATCAGAAACAGAGCTAGATGCTAAAGAAATTTTCAAGAGTATTTTAAAGTAATATAGACAATCAAGTGTCCGGGACTTAATATAGTGTCTGGAGAAAGAAAAGCACAAACCAGGCTGATCTCTAAAGAGGTTCAGGCTTCATTTCAGCTCTACAGATCACCTATATGTATCAATGACCACCTCACCTAATAAAATTCCACATTTTCAAAGGAATTGCACACATCACTAATTTTGATAACTTTTCAAAATACATTTGAACCTAAAGAAAAAACTTAAAATTTGTTCTGAAACTCAAGTAGCAGATAAATTTAGGATAAACAAAACAGAGAACATGGTTGCCTAGGAGATAAGTAAATGGAAACAACTGGTACCTATAAGACTTTAAAGTTAACAAATAATGATTATCAAAAGTTTTGCACACAATTTCAGAGAAAAATTAAATTTCAGAGTGTACTGAACATAACCACTTAACAGGATTATTAGGCATATTTATAATCTGACAAGAATCTTTGGTAGTTTTTAGGTTCATGTGTAACACCTTATTAGTCTTGATGGAAAAGATATATGTTCATTTTTCCTTTCTTAAATTAACCTACCCTTTTCTCCAGAAACTCCTATGTTCTGCCACATAATCCTAACTTCTATTACAATAACTGCTACCCATGGTATCAACATTGAAAATGTAGGCAAATAAGCTGCTTGGTCTTCTTAATGTTTTATAAATTATTTATACTATCTAAATCTTTATTTACCCCATTAGCCTGTTCAATGTTTAGTTACTGCAGTATGAAGTATACAGTGTAAGCCTGATTTATGCCCAAATAAGAAATATTGCATAGGTCCTTACGTTTAAGACCTAACTCTTGAAACAAATTTGTTTTCAACTGTAGCTGTCATTTATTAAAAACTTACTGTGAGTCAGACTGTAATGCTACAGTCATTAACCCATATACATAAGATGAGGCCTACAGAAGTTAAGTAATTTACCTAAGGGCACACAGTAAATGCAAAAGCAAATCTGAACTCAAGATTAGAGTGATTAAAAACCTTAGCTCTTAACCTTTAGGTAATGATTTATTTATATCCCCAGTCTTAGGTAATTTCCTTTTTCTTCAAAGTTTGCTTATGCTAGAATAGGCTCTGGATGTAGCTTGCGAAATAAGGTGTTTTTTCTTTTCTAAAATTCCTATAAGGTGACTACATCACTTTTCTAATTACCAAAAAAATTAAAGTTATTTGTTACTTTCAGACATGACATGGTAGACATAGGAGACACACTAATTCTCTGTCCAAATATTGTGATATAATAAGAGCCAGGGTGAGGTGTATTGATTTCATTTTAAATGCTATAGGATAGTCATTAGAAAAATTTTAAAGCCAAGACTTACATCACTTATTGTAGATTTTTAAAATTCATTTCAGGAAATACAAAATTATAGGGCAACAGACTCAACAACTGCTCACAGAGCATGGGGAGAGAAGGAAGCAGCAGTATCTGGCTCCGCGGTAGACCACAGGCAGTGGGTTTTGAAAAGCACAAAGGTGACGCTTTGTCAATAAAAGGAATCATACAGCTACCAAAAAGCAAAAAACTGAGATCCAGAGAGCGAGCATAATTTAGTACATACAGATGTTAGTTAAGATGAAAATTTGAAGTATGGTTAATATGAAAATTTCAAGAATCAGATTCCTTAGGCCCTTAATCCTCTTTTATCTATCACTACTTGCGGTTTTAAGTAGATAATTTAAGCTAATACTGCTATCTTTCTCATAGGAGTATTCTGTAAATTAAATGAGATAATACATTATCAATCATCCAGTCCTATGCTTAATATGCATTAAGTGTTTAAGACTATTAGCTATAGCTAATAACAACTACTATTGACAAATTGCATACTTCATGAAGAATCAAGAGTGGACTAAAACACTAAAGAAGAGAAAATTAAAACTAAAGTTATAAAGTTTATTTTTTAAAAACTTATATGTAGTATAGAGCAGCCTATACTCAACACACAGTAAGAGTTCAGTAAATATTAATGATAATACTCCAAATGCAAGTGAGGAGGATCACAAATGATTTTAATTTTCATGTTTATGCTTTTTTATATGACGTTACAATTTCTATATGAAATTCTGCCATATTATGTATCAAAATTACCTAAAACAAACCTATCTTTCACCTTTCAAATACTTAAAACACCATAAACAACATTTAGTCATGTACTTTTGTATCATATACAACTTTCAAAGCACAGGTTCTGGTGTTTGACTGATGGGTTTGAATCCTATCATTTACCAGCTCCATCAGCTTAACAAGCTGCATGAGCTCTCTGTTCTTCAAATTCCTCATTTATAAAACTGGAATTACAAAGTGCACAACTCAGGAAGCTGCTGGAATTAATGAGAATACATAAAGCACTTATAATGCTTACTATCCAATAATGTGGTGTTGTTATCAGTAGCAATACTCTGAAATATCAGCTCCATGTATGTAAATAATACTGCTAATATTCGAAGATTCTAAAATCATTGTCAAGACAACTGATATCTAAGTCTTCTTATTTCTACTTGACGATTTTATACCACAAAAAGTATTCACTCTCAATACTTTGGGCCTAGGAAGAAATATGTATCAGCTAAGAGAATATGTGAAAGAAAAACTTACTATGTCTCTGAAGACAACTGCCCGAAGTCGATTAATATCCATGTCTTGTAAGAGCCTGTCAAAATCTCTCACTGGAGATATACCACCAGTTACAATGTCCACTGGACTCTATTTTAAAGACAAAACATATAAACATACGTTACACAGATATTTTAGAAAATAACACACTACTCCATGGGCGACAACATCTTTTCCCAGCTTGTTTTCCTCCTCTCTTCTTTTTCTGGGTGCCAGGATGGAGGTGGGGGGTAGAGAAGGGAGCCATGAAAGCAAAAAGAGACTGCATGCTAACTCACCAAGTACATGAAACACACACTGACGTATCAGAAGGGAAAAGTATCATGGACACAAGGAAAGTAAACATTTGGAAAAGCAGACAAGATTAAGTATAAGCAAATCTTTACTGTATACTCAAACACAAATATTTGAAGGTTATGTCCACAGACTAAAATAACTATTTTAGGATTTCTGTCAGATTTATTTAACTTTATATTGAAATGAACAAATAAATTTAAGATCTTAACTGTAAAATAAAAGAGAATGCTTTGTTATTTAATTAATTATTCTGCAGGCCTACCTTCGCTGCGGATTTCCCAGTGGGAATCAGGCTGTGTGCCATTTTCTGGCTTTTTCCTGCTTCGCCTTTATTTCTCAGCTGTGACTGCTGCTGACACTCTAAGCAATTCCTTACTGCCACTGCACACACTGCAATTTAAGAAAAATTGTATTTAAGATTATGGAACTGACAAAACCCACCTATATGACTTGCATAAGACTTTATTTGAAACAGATCACCTTCAGCAAATCCCTAAAATATCCCTGGACTTTCTCACCCACTGTTTGCTTTCTGACTCTGGTAGCCACTCTATTAGGGCCCACTGCTAAAGGAGAATCCATTCAAGAACCTGAAGAAATACTATACTGTTTCTTATATCTCACATAATTTACTTGAAATAATCTTTTATGAAGGAAAAGATAGGGAAGAAAAGATTTTAAAAGTGTAAGAAAACAAAATAAATCACATTGCCATCAACTAGTTCTTCTACTATTTTCAGTGAAGTACAATAGTTAAACTAGAAACCAGCATGTTTTTCTTAAAATTTTTATGATTACAGCATGACAGTAATAGGGACTGACAGAGGGAATAGCATTAAAGGGAATATTTATTTATAAAGTCTATCTTTTACTGGCTTTCATTAAAACAGTTAAAAAGGTAGGGGACAAAAAGGAGGTTGTGATTAATATACAATCCAAAATTACCTCTCTATAAACATCTCACTTATCAGGCAGTTAACTCAAGTTATTCAGATAGTAACTGTGAATTTTAAAGAATTAGGTAATACACAATTGACTATGAATTGATTCATATCATGTAATCATCTCCAATCCCAACCAAATCGGTAGCCCTAAAAGTATTTGTCTCCACAAGGGTGGGAGAGCAAATTAAGAACAAAATAGCAAACTTAAGTAATAACTTCAAGTACCTATCATATGGCTATTACACACAGCATTGAAAAGGGAAAGTATCAGAAAGGTGCCCAGAGAGAGCAACGAATGTTGGAAAAAGAGAAGGAACACAGTGAAGAGGGAGGGAGAGAATACAGTACAACTCCGTCCAGTTTGGGGAAAGCCCAGCAAAAAACTTCTCAACTACTTTTGTCAGAGGTTGTGTAACATCAAGTTTGGGTCTGCATTACAAAGTTAAAAACCACATTTGAGTGCCTAGTATCAATTAGTCTCAGTAATTTATTCTTACTGTTGCCATCTGACCTTCTCACTTCCAACTTCACGAAAATAGCAATGAGGAGACCAGGGATCAAAACATTTGGACCGCTGTAACCAAGCTTACCATATTCTATTAAGTGGTCCTGAACAAGGAGAGCATATGGTGCTGGAGTACACTGAATTATTTCTTTATTTTCTTCTATAGTCATGGAAATAGAGGGAGACAGAGTATTCTCCTAGTTTCTGAATTTAATACTTCTTGAGTACAGCGAAGCATTGCTAGTGTAGTTTTCTACTTTCAATTCTACAAGTGTACTCTTTTCAGGAAAGTAGAGAGGTTTAAAAAATGGCATATACAAAGTAATGGGTTCTAAGTATTTTAATTATATTATTGATATAAAGTTTAACAGTGTATCCTATAACAGAATAGCAATACTAGTTAAACTATATTCAAATTCCAACTCTGCCAATTTACAGCCTCTGAATTTTCATTAATTAACTTCTTTGATCTCAAATTTCCTCATGAATAAAAGAAAATACAAATGAATGAATGGGAGAAAATGATTGCTGACTCAATGTGAAAATCAGAAATGACATGTAACAAAGTAAATGATAGCTTTTGTTTTGTTACGCTTACCATCTGACTCTTAATTAAGATTTTAAAACAACTCCCTAAAAATAGTATACCAAGTTCTTTAGCACATCCTGACTTTAAAAGTACTTTGAATGATATTTTGAGTGAAAATAATCATTGTACCAAAAAAATCTAAGTATGTCTGAATATCTAAGTATAGACATTGTTGCTAAATATGTGGAAATATTTTATTAACTAATTATATTTTCCACTTTAGATATTATATTTTCATAGGTACCTTATTTCTAATTTGTCTTCACATGGCCATGGTTCCTAAAGATTTCGCTTTCATGGTCCCCTTTTCTCCACCTACTTCTCTCCATTTAATAGGCAAATCATTAACAAAGTCTCAGTATTTTCAACTAGATACAGGAAACATTTTGCATAGACAAAAACAATTTTTCTTCACCTAAGGAATTTCACATATCACTTAAAAATTCAAGGAAGAACTGCCTCCAGGAGCAGAGCAGAGGTTTAATAGTCATATTAATTTTATCACAACTTATTTGGATTAATGGCTACACTTGAACGATGCTAGTTTAGAACCTTGCTGCTCAAGTGTGTTTGTAAGAGAAGCAGCATCAACACTACCTGAGCCTTACTAGAAGGACAAGTTTAGGCCTCATCCCAGACCTATATAAGCTAACCAGCGCTGTAACAATACCGTCTGGTGATCCATGTGTATGAATCACATCAAAACTTGAGAAGCACTACTTCAAAGCAAAAGGCGACTGGGGGTTGCAGGGAGTAATGCTGATCAGAATCAACTTTGTAGAATTTTCAAAACATATCCTCCTCCTCGATCCACCCTTACAAGTACTACTATAGCCAATGCATACACAGTCCTTTACTCTTTGGAAGTTAAAAAGTATCATAAGACAAATTGCCTAGCACATATCTTCCCACCAACAGGGGAAAGAAAATATTCAATTTAATATGTCTGTATTACTGAAAATTTAAGCAAATTCCTAAGTATTGGGGTTTTAACAGCTCACCTAGTCGGAGACTCTGCCGCAAAATTCCTCCAGATGACATATTTTTTTCAGCTTCAATTTCAGAGAAGCCAAGAGAACTTGCAAATATAAGTACATCCACAAGGCTAATTAATCTCTGCAAAAATGCTACAGAGGCTTCTATCGAAAGCCCTTGAGTAGGTTCAATATTCTCCAGCTCATGCTGTAAGGAATAAATTTTGACATTTATATATATATATATATATATTCTGATAAAAATCGAATTTTATGAGATACATTCCCCAAACTTCTAAATTTTATAAAAAGTTTGGCTTTCATAAATAAATCTAGTTCAACAGAGGAATTTCCTTATCATTTCATCTAAAAGAAAGCATACATACAGGTGAAAAACTGTCAGTCATGTTACTCACTAACTAATTCATCCCTGATAATTAAAGATTCTTTAGTGCCTTCATTCCTGGGACAGATTCTAAGGTCCTTTCAAGTAATATAACAGATTCTGCTGTTTTTGAATGACAGAACCTATGATGTATAGTAACCACCACATTTAAGTTTTAATCAATAAGAACAGAGAAGTCATGTTTTCACACCAATTTTACTTAGTAGTTAAGTCCTTACTGTAGCGGATGTAGCAGCTGAAAGCAACGGCAGTATACCCCCACAAGCCATGACCATGTTGTCCATCACTTGAGAGATGAGATGAACTGTGTTGTGTACAAAGATGACATTATCACTGCTATTCACGAAGTCCATAACTGTCTTTGTTGAATGGCTGTCCAAAGATAAATGATGTTTACTCATAATGCTAAAGAAAAGAAATCACATTTGCCTACTTGAGGGAAGGGAGGATAAGAGGGTGCTTTCTTTGCTTCATCTTGAAAGCTGAGGAACTATAATGATGCAGCAGGCATTTTGGGGGTGTATACTTCCTCAGAATATGTAGACCATTCCCTGTCAGTGGTTACTATCTGTGCCCTTTTTCAGTTCTGAACAATAAATACTACTGATCTTAGACTTAATATAAAAGTTGAATCAAATTACCCTAAATTAGGAGCAAAATTTGAAGCCACAAAAACTGAGAGGTAAATGGCACTACATGTGCTATTAAAAATGAATTTTCTAGTAACTTTTTCTTAGATAATGCCATGAAATGTTTTTAAACAGAGTAAGAGTAGAATACAACTAACAATAAACAAATCAGGCACTTTTAAAAATCATAAATCACACAACGGAGGATACTCTAAAACACACAGACTTTTTATAGTAAAAATACATTGGAAAACTAGATGTTTCACCTAAATCCCATTTTTTTACTTTCTTCTAGTAATAAATGCATTTGGTAGACCTACATTCAGGCAAATTATATGATATAAAATATGTCACAGAAAATCTTCAGCAAATACTTTAAAAAAAAATCTCCAATTTTCAAATTTTCATACTCTAAATACAATACCTCACTTTTGTAAGAGAATAAACATTAATTCAATAAAACCCTACCACAGAAATAATTTATATCCTACTTTTTAACCAAATGACTATAGTTAACTACAGAATGTTAACTAAATAAATTTCTTTGAAAACAAAGACTAAAATTTACATACATCTTCTATGATAAATAAATGGACAAACCTTCTCCACATCTGTATGTCTGTTTCTATTGAAAATAATAGATCAGTGAGCAAACGCTGATGCATTTGAGACCATCTGAACTCAGGAATACGGAACATAGACCTGGAATCCCTCCTTTGTCCATTAACTGTGTCGGGTGCTGTTCCTTGCCCTGGCTGCTCCTGTTGCCTTGACATCTAATAGAGAAAGTTAAAAAGTGTAATAAAGGAAGTTCAACTGCAAAAGAAGACATTAATATCTAATAGAGTCTAAGCAATTCACCTAACAAATACTCACATTTCAAGACACTAAGGAACCAAATCAGAGAAAAATTATTAATGAATAATAACAATGATACATTTAAAGCAAAGTTACAAAAAAAATGCTAAACTAGCACCATTTAGCAGTAACTGGCCTGGAACCATGTTAGTGTTAGCACCAGTTAATACAGCATTTTATAAATGAATCAACAAGTTTTGGATTTTCAGTACTGACATAAAAGAAAGGCTGTATCTGGATTATAAATTAGCTAGAATTAAGAAAAAAACAAAACTAAAGACAATAGAATGAAGACCAAACCAATAAAAAAGGAAGACGGGAGAGCAGTAAGAGTTGAATCAAGTGGGAAATGACAACATGCAACCACAGTGGTGTCATGGATCCCTCTGAGATACTTTTTGCACTGGCCTTCAATTCCAGTCTCTCAGTATCTGTAGCAACACTGGAAACATCCAACTTGGCAATCTTACGCTCAGAGGCAGCAGGAGACTCAAAGATATTACCACGAGAGTCACTATTGAGTTTGGTTTCTCCAGTGAAGCTAGTTTTCTCCCGTTCCTCCAGCACATGACCAATGTCCGAATGTACAGCTGCTTGGGAAGCAGGCGCATCTGGTGAGGTAGCTGAAGCCCCTGATGCTGTCATAGACAAGACTCCAGAATCTTTAGGATTTTGAGTTTCAGTGTCAGTTTGTTTCTTACTTGCAGTTTCTTCCTCTTGAAATAATTTATGGTCATTACTAAACACATTCACTCTCTCACTGGCTTCAGAAGCACCTGGAGACAAACTATTATGTTGGCGCTCTGTGGGAAGACTGGCTTCCTCAACAGGACTACATTCTACCTTCAGTTCTACATAATCATCATCATCTTCTTCCTCTACTATGGACTTATCTAATAATTCTGGCACCTCTGAAGCATCTTCTTCTGAAGGAGAACTGATGGAAGCAGTTACTTCATTGACAGTCACTGTATCTTTGCCAGTTGTAAAAGAATCAGAGGAAATGGTCGCAGCTTCTGTTATGTCAGAAGATCTTTCTAAATCATCTCCATTAACTGTTTCATTTATCAGTGTTTCTTCCAGAGGGACTTCATCCAATAACTCCTGATTTTCTGGCCCAGTTGTCCTTTCTTCATTAGATGTATCAGGAATTTGCAGTTCAGTGTTGGATGCAGATTCTACTGAACTTGTCTGCCCAATACTTGACTTTTCATCACTATTTCTAGTGATATCAGAAGACACAGGAGAATCCTTTGTATCTGATTGTTGGGATCCTACTGAAACATTAACTTCCCTGCTAATGCCAGAGATTGCTCGAACTGGATTTGAAGAACACTGCCCTATTTCTTCATCAACTTTTCCCTGGTGTTCCCTTAATATATTGGCAAGGTTTTCTTTGTGTATTTCAAAAGTGACCTAGATGAAAAATATACAAGGAGTCAAAATACACACACAAAAAAATAAACAAATGAACAGAGCAAACAAAACATTAAATTTAAATGTTCAATTTTTCCAACACATGGTTTATATGATGCAACAGACAATTTTCCTATAATATCTTATCAAGTGATAGAAAACAGGGGTCAAACACAAAAATCTAAATCATCAAAAAAATTATACCTAATCAATGCTAACAGGTAGCATGGCATCAAATAACAAGAACACGGTTATTTAGATTATATTTTTAAGACATATGTATAGGAAAACAGTACCTTATTCTACTAACCTGTATAACTTGTACCAGGATCTAAGTATGAACCACTGGAAAGTGCTTTGTGTACTATGTAATATGTTGTTTAAAAAGCAATGAAAATCCATTTTCCCATGATTTATTCTCAGCAGAGATCAAAAACATCAGTTATGTTCATTTCATATATGATACAAATTATATACTTAAATACTATATATATTATGTGTTATAGCTGCACTCTCTGCATTTATTCAGCTATGAAAAAAACCTCATACTAAGGTAAAGAGTATAAATTCTTTTAGCAATGAAATAAAAAGATCCAACCATTCCCCAAAGATTAACCATAATTTTCAAAGCTGAACTGATCATAAATGGTCTGAAAGTTCCAGTTAATTCATCCAAGCAATTCATCCATCTACTTGTAGAGCTGTATATAAGAGATTAGTAAATACTCAGCTCTGTGAACATACCCACATCATGCTTATTAGCCTTTTGCCCAACTAAATGGAAAAATTTCAAGGTTTAAGTATAAAAGAGAGTGCTATGATTTTAATGTCAAAGGTTATTGATTTTATTTCATCAAATATTATTATATTATAGCCACCATTGGAATCTTCCCTGGTGGCTCAGAGGGTAAAGTGTCTGCCCGCAATGCAGGAGACCCGGGTTCGATCCCTGGGTCGGGAAGATCCCCTGGAGAAGGAAACGGCAACCCACTCTGGTATTCTTGCCTGGGAAATTCCATGAACAGAGGAGCCTGGTAGGCTACAGTCCATGAGGTTGCAAAGAGTTGGACACAACGGAGCGACTTCACTTTCACAGCCACCACTATGTGACTGCCACTAGCAAGTTTCAATGTGAACATCACCCAAAAAAGTAAATACAGGCAGAAGGTATAGGCATAATTAGAGTTTAATCAATGCTAGAAGTGTTTATGTAACCCATATTATTATAATAAACATAGTAAATTGAACCTTGTAGTCAACAAACCTTTATTGAACCCTAGTATGGTAGGATGATGACACATAAAAAAGAAGAAAAGATGATTTTTCATGCCCAAAGATCCACAGACCTTTTTGAAGGCCTGTGAATGCAAGTATGTACACAGGTGCATATAGTGCAAACAAAACTATAAATAATGCACAATGTACATAGTTTCTTCTATAGCTATTAACTAGCCTTTACATATGACATATACAGTACAGTCTTGCCATAAAGTGGTACAGTGAAAATGTTAAGTCGCTCAGTCATAGCCAACTCTTTGCGACCACCATGGACTGTAGACCACCAGGTTCCTCTGTCCAGGGATTCTCCAGGCAAGAATACTGCAGTGGATTGCCATGCATTCCAATGAACACCCAGGACTGATCTCCTTTAGGATGGACTGGTTAGATGTCCTTGCAGGCCAAGGGACTCTCAAGAGTCTTCTCCAACACCACAGTTCAAAAGCATCAATTCTTCGGCGCTCAGTTTTGTTTATAGTCCAACTTTCACATCCATACATGACTACTGGAAAAACCATAGCCTTGACGACACAGACCTTTGTTGACAAAGTAATGTCTCTGCTTTTTAATATGCTGTCTAAGTTTTTTTCCACGGAAAAAGTGCTATATTCAACACTAAAGAGTAAAATGGCATAATAACATTAACAAAATGTTAATTTCTTCTATGCCCAGAAGGCTGATATCATCTTTGAACTAAGTTCTTAATTTTAATTGATGAATTCCTCATTTATTCATCTGAGAAAAATTTACTGAATTATCTACAGCAAGCCAGACACTGTGTGGTGAACAATACAGTGTTCATGGTGCCTATGTTCTAATGGAAAAGATGAAAAATAAACATATGAACATACAAGATAATGTCAAGTAATAATAAGAGAATTTTAAGAAAAAGGAGGAGGGGCAGAATAACTGAAGAAGAAAATCTAGGTGGGAGGGTATGCTTTACTAGGCTAACTGGGGAAGGTCTCTGGAGATGTTTGAACAGAGAAAGTGAGAAAGAAAGTTACACGAATATCGAAAGAGTTTCAGGCTCTTTGCTCAGGAAGAACAAATGCAAAGGCCTTGGAGCCAAAGTAAGTTTGGTATGTTTCAGGAACAGTAAGAAAGCACCAGACAGAGAACTGCAGACGATAAGGTAAGAAATGGAGCCACTGCTTTAGGATTACAGAGAATCATAAACTGTGTAAAAGACTTTGAATTTTATTCTGATATCCATGATATAATGTTTGTCCTGACATGTTAATACATAATAATGTATAACACAACAGTATTATAGAATGAGTTTAGTTTTGGATAATCATGGGTTTGACTTTACTCAAATTGAGGATTTTTTAAGTTATTATAAAATGTATCAATAAATATGAATATATACAATCTACAAGTATGGTTAAAGAATAATTTTTTTAGCCCCGTGTACCTATACCCATGTCAAGGAGCAGAACATACCTCACAATTCCACTATGAGCCCAACCCCAGTTGTACTCTGCACCTCACCACTCCCAACAAGAGGAAATCACGATCCGTGTATTTCTATTCATTGTTCCCTACTTTAATAGTTTTACTACCTATGTAGTAAACATACCTAGAATGTTCAGTTTGAGATACTAATTACAGCATAAGCCTAGCCAACTAAAAGAAAGGCCAACATTCCCAGAGTTAACTAACGGCTCCCGGGAGAAGACAAGCTACACAGGATCTGTGTACCAGAGCGGGTTCTGGCTTCTCTAAGAGGATATATTAAGACTATTTAGGTCTACAGGCAAGGTCATTAGGAAACACTGGGAAATACGAAGGATAAAAGATCTCTGAGGGCTAGTGGGGGCCAGGTAGTGGGTATTTGGCATAAATAAGGTCCAAGAAAAAAACTCTTTTACATTTGCCAATTCTAAGCTTACAATTCTACTCTCAGAAGCAGAGCACAACAGATCCCATGTTTGAGGGGCGAAGTGAGATTCTTTGGGTGATGCAGGCAGCAGGACTAGAGGGAACAGAACTATTCACCACACTGTCAAGACAAGTAGTCATGAGAACATGGGCCCACCTCCTGTGCATAATTGGTCCTCAGGCTTTAAAAAGATCTTACAAAGGCATCTGGCATCTCAGTAATAAGAGCTCCCCCTATAACTGGATCTTAAGTCAAACTATTCCGGTTCAGATGGACTACACATGGCTACTACAACGCTGCCATCCTGAGACCTCCCTTCACTAAAATCCTGGAGATCCCTTCATCTCTCTCCTGTTCCTCACAGCCCGTATCTTCTTTGTTCTGCTCTCCCCTTTTGGTGCAGTATATCCTCCACTGCCCGCTTGAAATTTTTAAGACCTAAGAGTAAACTTATTCTACCTTCACACTTGAAGGTCAGTTAAAATCATAGATTGGAAAACATCTACCTTCAGAATAAGAAAGGTACTTTTTGATTATCTTCTTCTGTGTTTATTGTTGGGAAGTCTGAGAGGTATTTCTGATTCGTGAACCCTCATATGACTTATTTTTACTTACTTTGTTCTTTTTCATGAAATTTTATGAAGTCTTCTCTTTGTTCCTAATGCTTTGAAATTCCCACAACGATTCTTGGCACGGGTCTATTTTGACCCATGGTGCTAAATACCCACTGGGCCCTTCCAACCTACTAACGAATATCCTTTGGTTCTGAAAATCTTTCTTGAATAACTTAATTTATATCCCCGTCCCCTCTCTTTCCCCTGTTCTCACTCCCCAGGATTTTTACTCTTTGACAATGCACTGACTGGTCCTTTACTCTTCTTATCATTTCCCAATTTTCCATCTCCTTTGTCTTTTGGTTCTATTATCTGGGAAAGCACCTCATCTAACTGTTGAACATGTTTCCACTTCTCTTACGTGACTCTGCACTAGTCACTTCACTTCCCTGCTGCTCATATTTCTCCTAAGAAGGTTAAATACAAACTTCATATTTTAAATTTTCTCTGGTGCCAATAGGGAAAGGAAATTCCCTCTCTCCCCTTTGGTTTTTCATATAGAAAACTTGGAAGTTGGAAATATTTCCTCTGGTACCTGGAGATATATTTAAACCTCACTTACTCCCAACTTACTAGGGTAACTGGGGAAGGTCTCTGGAGATGTTTGAACAGAGAAAGTGAGAAAGAAAGTTACACAAATATCAATATTATCTGAAACAAGAGTTTCAGATAATAAAATAATAAGAAGAAGATAAGATAATAATAAAATAAGATAATAAGCCTCTTGCTAGTTTCCTATCCCTAGGATGTCTTTCCGGGGGGCATTGAAGCCATTTCTCTCAAACATCAAGAATACATGTAACTCCATGGCTGATTCAAGTCAATGTATGACAAAACCCACTTCAATATTGTAGAGTGATTAGCCTCCACCTAGTGAAAATAAAGGAAAAATAAATAAATAAATTTTTTTAAAAAAAGAAAAGAATGATGGCTTCCCTGGTGTCTCAGAGGATAAAGTGTCTGCCTGCAGACACTCAGGTTCAATCCCTGGGTTGGGAAAATCCCCTGGAGAAGGAAATAGCAACCCACTCCAGTATTCTTGCCTGGAGAATCCCGTGGACAGAGGAGCCTGGCGGGCTACAGTCCACGGGGTCTCAAAGAGTCAGACACGACTGAGTGACTTTACTTCACTCACTTTTGTCTCTGTAAGAGTTTAAGCATATGTGCTTGCCTCCAAGACGTAACCTCCAGTTTGTCAAAAATACACAAGAATTTATTTTTTT